CACACACACACACACAGAGAGAGAGAGAGAGAGAGAGAGAGAATGTTCAGAGTAGCTTTATTCATAACAGCAAAAAACTAGAAACAACCAAATGGTCAGAAACAGAAGAATGTGCCAGATGCACTGGCTCAGGCCTGTAATCCCAGCGCTTTGGAAGGCCAAGGTGGGTGGATCACTTGAGGTCAGAAGTTTGAAACCAGCCTGGCCAACATGGCAAAACCCTGTCTCTACTTTAAAAAGTACAAAAATACCTGGGTGTGGTGGCTCACACCTGTAATCCCAGCACTTTGGGAGGCTGAGGCAGGCAGATCACGAGGTCAAGAGTTTAAGACCAAAACCAGCCTGACCAAAATGGTGAAATCCCGTCTCTACTAACAATACAAAAATTTAGCTGGACGTGGTGCCATGTGCCTGCAATCCCAGCTACTCAGGAGGCTGAGGCAGAGAATTGCTTGAACCCGGGAGGCAGAGGGTGTGGAGAGTTGAGATTGCACCATTGCACTCCAACCTGGGCAACAAGAGTGAAACTCCATCTCAAACAAAACAAAACAAAACAAAGCATACAAAAATTAGCCAGGCGTGGTGGCAGGCATCCCTCCTCAGGATGCTGAGGCACAAGAATCACTCAAACCTAGGGGGGCAGAAGTTGCAATGAGCCAAGATCACGCCACTGCCCTCCAGCCTGGGCTACAGAGCAAGACTCTGTGTCAAAAAAAAAAAAAAAAAAAAAAAAAAAAAGAAAGAAAGAAAAGAAAAGAAAAATAAACAGAAGAATGGATAAATCAATTGTGGTATTTGTATATACCACATGTTGTGGACTGTTGTAGTTCCCCAAAATTCGTATGTTGACATCTTAACCCCCAGTGGGATAATATAAGGAAGTGGGGCCTTTGGGAGGTAATAAGGTCATGATGGTGGAGCCCTTATGAATGGGATTAATGCCTTCTAAGAAGAGACTGGAGAGTTTGCTTCCTTTCTGCTTTTCACCATGTAAGGATACATGAAGAAGATGGCCATCTGTAAACCAGGAAACAGGCCCTCATAAGACACCAGATCTAACAGCACCTTGATCTTGGACTTCTCAGCCTCCAAAGCTGTCAGCAATAAATTTCTGTTGTTGAAGACACCCAGTCTATGATATTTTGTTATAGCTGTCCAAACTGACTAAGACTCAGATATATACATACTATGTGATCTAGACTAGGAAAAGCTAATCAATGGTAGTTACTTTTAAGGAGGACATTGACTGGGAGAAGAGCACAAAGGAACTTTCCAGAGTGCTGAAATGTTCTATATATCAATCTGGGTAGTAATTACAACGTAGTGTTCACTTGTGAAACTTCATTGAAGCACTTAAAATTCATGAACATTGGCCGGGCGCAGTGTTACACCTGTAATCCCAGCACTTTGGGAGGCTGAGGCGGGTGGATCACTAGGTCAAGAGATCGAGAAACCTGGTCAACATGGTGAAACCCCGTCTCTACTAAAAATATGAAAATTAGCTGGGCATGGTGGCGGATGCCTGTAGTCTCAGCTACTAGGGAGGCTGAGGCAGGAGAATTGCTTGAACCCAGGAGGCAGAGGTTGCGGTGAGCCGAGATCGTGCCATTGCACTCCAGCCTGGGTAACAATAGCGAAACTCTGTCTCAAAAAAAAAAAAAAAAAAAAAAAAAAAATCATGCACATTATGGTTTGTGTGTTACAATTCAATTTTTAAAAATGTTTAGCCCCCAAAGACCCTTCTTTTCTCTTTATCTGTCACAACTATTTTATTTTATATGAAGTCTTGTTAAAGAATCTGTGCTGTTTTAACTTCAATGTATTGTCTTCTATAGAAGATCTACTTATGATTTTATGAATGCTGACCTCGTTCACTTGCCAAATGCAGCAAATTGACCCAAGTAAATTTGGCTGTTCACAATTATTAGATAATTTAGGGGCCAGTGGAGGCCACCGTTATTAGACATAGGCGTGGGCTCTAGGTCTCTCCTTAACAACCTCACTTTCAGATGACTTACTACAATGAAAGCAGTTTTGTAAAACGAGATTCCCATTCAAACATCTATCAGCAAGAAAACACAAAAATAGTCCGATAACACATTCCCAAAATTCAGGGAGACCCTAGATTTCTGGATTTTAGGCACTCTGATATTCATCTTGCGTACACACACACACACACACACGCACACACACACAGAAAAACTTAGGAAGCCTAGCAGCCTTCAGAGTGATACTCGGCCTGGATTTTGATTTAGTTGACTTTTCTGCCCCTTAGTGATGAATTCTGTCACTTGACCCTGACCAAAAGTCTAAAATATTGTAATGATCTGCCTTGAATACTTTTTCATGAATTTCTTTTTCCTCACATTTAAAGTCCAGGTTAGAATGATAAGTCTGTTCTATGAAGCCATTGGGGTTGGTATGGCACTACAGGATGTTGGGACTTGGCTTCCTCATATCTTGCTGCTTTGCCACACATATGGTGTTGCCTTCATTTGCTTGGTCCAGTTTTGCTCATTACCACATCCATATCTAGCCAGTTGGAGAAAGGAGAAAAGTAGGTAAGAGAATAAACTCATTCTATTTAAGAATGACCTGGGCCGGGCGCGGTGGCTCATGCCTGTAATCTCAGCATTTTGGGAGGCCGAGGCGGGTGGATCACGAGGTCAAGAGATCGAGACCATCCTGGTCAACATGGTGAAACCCCGTCTCTACTAAAAATACAAAAAAATCAGCTGGGCATGGTGGTGCGTGCCTGTAATCCCAGCTACTCAGGAGGCTGAGGCAGGAGAATTGCCTGAACCCAGGAGGCGGAGGTTGCGGTGAGCTGAGATCGCGCCATTGCACTCCAGCCTGGGTAACAAGAGCCAAACTCCGTATCAAAGAAAAAAGAAAAAAGAATGACCTGGAAAGCCGGGCATGGTGGTGCACGCCTGTAATCCCAGCACTTTGGGAGGCTGAGACAGGTGGATCACAAGGTCAGGAGATTAAGACCATCCTGGCTAACATGGTGAAAACCCATCTCTACTGAAAATACACAAAATTAGCCAGGTTTGGTGGCACACGCCTGTAGTCTCAGCTTCTTGGGAGGCTGAGGCAGGAGAATTGCTTGAGCCCGGGAAGTACAGGTTGCAGTGAGCTGAAGTGGTGCCACTAGAGTTTAGCCTCGGCAACAGAGGGAGACTCCATCTCAAAAAAAAAAAAAAAACAACAACAACAGAGTAAAGGACCAGGATGCTGATGGAAACATGAAATAAATGTTTTTTTTTTTTTTTTTTTTTTTTTTTTTTTTAGCTGGTGTGATGGAAACATGAAATAAATATTTTTTAGCTGGTGTGATTTCTGATAATAGGCTGTACCTGCAGTTCTGCCCAGATGTTATGGGGCCTAAAGAAGCAGTTATATTTGTTCAGGTGGCTCTGTCTCTAGGCAGAGCCTGGCTCTTTCTATTCCCAGTGTTATGCCTCCCTACCAGCACATTAACTAGCATGTAATAAACAGTTTGCTGAATGGATGAATGAGAGTACCCTGACACTCATATGATTTGTTCTGTTAAATACTTATATTCTCAGTGACTTATCAAAACAAGAATTAAGGTTTTAATTGTGTCTGGCACAAAATAAGAGACTAGATAAATATGCGTTGAGTAGAGAAAAGAGAATCTAATTAGCTTAAATTTAAACTACCTGAGCACAACCCGGTTCAATATGTTTTTTCTCATTGGCCTTAAGAAAAGAAAAAGAGCCCAGAGGAGTCTGAACTATGTGAGGTATGCAAAATTTATCAGGCCAGAGAGAGATGAGTTTGGGACTTCAATCATGTCCCTACATCCCTATATTAGTCGGTTCTAACACTGCTATAAAGACATACCCAAGACTGAGTAATTTATAAACAAAAGAGGTTGAATTGACCCCCAGTTCCACATGTCTGGGGAGACATCAGGAAACTTAACAATCATGGTGGAAGGGGAAGAGGCATGTCTTACGTGGTGGCAGGTGAGAGGGAGCAAGCAAGAGCAGGGGAAGCTGCCTTATAAAACCACCAGAACATGGCGGAAACCATCCCCATGATCCAGTCACCTCCCACTGTGTGTGGTTCCTCTCTCCCTATGTGGGGATTATGGGGATTACAATTCGAGATGAGATCTGTGTGGTGACATAGAGCCAGACTGTATCAATCACGCTTGGGGGGCAATTGTTTAAAGTCACATTGCTCCTTACTAGCTGCTTCATCCATATTAATGTTCTTGGAATTTGTGATACAAAGAACAATGTATAGCCAATCAACAGCTTATGTTATTTTAATGTATGTTACTGGTAAACAATTTAGGAACTGTCTCTTCTTTCTGCTTTAAAAACCTACTTGTAAGTGCTGTTAATTAGAGTATATATTCAAGGCAATTTGAATACATGCTTTCATGTGGCAGTTCTCAAACTTGGCTCAAATAAACTCTTTACTTACATTAATTTTGCCTCAGTTTTTCCCTTTAGGTTGACAATATTGCATCAAGTTGAATGCTCACAGCAATTGTATGAACGAGATGGTATTTATTATTGGCCCTACTTTATACCTGAGGAACAGAGAAGTTGAACAACTTGTCCAAGATCACAGTTTGACAGCAGGAGGATCTTTGACTTTTTTTAAAATTTCACTTTTTTTTTTGAGAAGTACTACAACACGATGTGTATGTGTATTTACACACATTTTTGGAAAACATAATCTGAAAAAAAAAAAAAAAAGCCAAAACACTTCACATGAATGGAGAGCCAAAGGAAGGTCTTGGGTACAGATGCTGTCCAGAAATACTTAAAAATAAATGTATTACGTTGACACAAACTAGTAGCCATCCCCCTAAACCCTGCGGTACTTTTCAACCCAATCTGCTAGGTAGGATTAAGGGCGGGACTCCAGGGCCCCTGGGAGCACGCGGCAGCCGCGCATGCTCAGAGCACAAGGACTGCTCCAGCTTGTCCGTGGCCCCGCCCACCCAGGCCGCAAGGACTGCCGGGACGGCCCCCATCTTTTTTGAGCGCTTTAGGCCGGCCGGCTGCGCTGGGGAGTCGAGTCGTTGGTGTTGCTGTTTGTGAGCCTGTGGCGCGGCTCTGTGGGACCAGAACCTTAAAGGTGAGAAACTCTCGGTGGCTAATGAGAAGCTACAAAAGGGCCCACTTTGCTGGTGCGCGACGGCGCGTTTCCGTTCCCTACTTCCTCTCGCGGCGTTCGGCAGCCTCTCGCTTTCCTCACGTTCAGGCCGAGCGCCGCGTGGGCCGCAGCCGGCGGCGGCGGACCGGAGGGGGAGGCGGCGGAGCGGAGAGGGCGCCGGCGTCGGCGAGGCTGCCCCCGCGAGGACTGTGGGAACCTGGAGTTCCCGGCACGTGGCTGGTGCCCAGGCAGTTCAGCGATTGCTTTGAGGCGGGACTGTGGCTGCCCCATCCCCATTGCGTCTTTTCGGTTTCTTACCCCCACCGCGTTCTAGTCTCACCGAAGGCTTGTGGCCATCTCTGTAAGTTTCTGGGAAGGTGGGCACGGGGTAAACGTCTGTGGAGCCTGTGGACGGACTGGAGGCCAAAGAACTTAGGGCCGCAGGTGCACCCCAGCGTCACTATTTTGGTCTTTTAGGGCCTCACATCAGGTTTCGGTGTGAAACGGGAAAACGGGGTAATGTTTCACTTCCAGTCGTACATTCTGGAAAAGTAAACGATGAAACGCAGTCCCAAAATTAGATAGGCCAAATAGGTTTTGCAGGGACGAAATAGTTCCTTTACCTCATGGTTTGCTCTATAAGGGGCCCTAGATCACGGTAGTAACTTAGGAGTGTAGATTGTGATAGACAAGACAATGCATAACGTTGAGTAAATTCTCTAGGGGGATGTGCATCACGCAGTACCCCGATGCAAGTAAGTGCTTCCTATGTGCCTCCAGGGTAGTGAATGCAATTGCATGTTGTCAGGTGATGCTTCCAAGAAGTGTACCTATATCACTTCATAACTAGAGTCAGTTAATGGCAATATTCTTGATGGTTTGTTTACATAACTTTTGTACAATAGGGATGACTGGGTGGCTTAGTAGAGTCCTGGAGGCAAGTACTTTCTAATTAGAAGACTTGGTTTGTAATTTCTAGCAAACCAGTATCATAGCCTCCTTTTTTCCTTGCAGTGCTCATGTCAGGAATGCGAAACAGGAAACTGACTATCCAATGTATTAGTGAATTAGTAGGCATCCTCCCCAGTTCATGTCGTGTCAGTGTGACCACGTTCTCCAACTTTTGTTTTCGTATGTTCCTTAGCATAGAGCATCTAAGGAACTGGAGTGTTTGGATTTTTTTTCACCTTAAAGTTATGATACCTAACTTGCTGATAACAAGATTTGGGTAAGTTAGCTGTGACTGCATTTTAAAAGAAATGAGGCAGGGCTTGGTGCCTCACGCCTGTAATCTCGGCACTTTGGGAGGCCGAGGTGGGCGGATCGCCTGAGGTCAGGAGTTCAAGACCAGCCTGACTAACATCGAGAAACCCACGTCTCTACTAAAAATACAAAATTAGCCGGGCATGGTGGCGCATGCCTGTAATGCCAGCCACTCGGGAGGCTGAGGCAGGAGAATCGCTTGAACGCGGGAGGGGGAGGTTGCGGTGAGCCGAGATCATGCCATTGCATTTCAGCCTGGGCAGCAAGAGCCAGCGAAACTCTTGTCTAAAAAAAGAAAAAGAAAAAAAAGAACCGAGACGAAACAAATGCACAGTGATATACTGAAAGATAATATCTTTTGAAGCTGGAAATATTTGGTCAGGATTGGAGGTTTTTTTTTTTTTTTTTTTTTCCCTAAAGCTTGCTTGACCAGCTAAATGGAGATAAAGAGTTTCTTGTTATAGAGGATGGGGTAGTGATTTACTGAAAGAGGGGCAGCTTTTTTCATAGTTTTTAGATATTTGTCATTACTTATTCCAAAGTGTTGCTTTGTTGAGATATTTGAGAATTGAGTAAAGAAAGTGAACTCGTGAAATGAGAAATTCTTGATTTTTTTTTAAAGAAAACAATGAGATATGAATGCTTTGTAAACATTCTCTTTCTAGTCTTGAGTTTTATATGAAAAATAACTTTATGCTAATTTGATAAATTTTACAGATAGCCATAATGGCTGAAAATGGTGATAATGAAAAGATGGCTGCCCTGGAGGCCAAAATCTGTCATCAAATTGAGGTATGATTCCTGTGCTATAAACTGCAAAAACAAGTTCCTTGAAAGAAAATGGACGACCTCAACACAAATAGAGAAAGAACATTTAATTTCAGTATATGGACATATTCAACATTTGGCTTGTCTTTGATTCTTAGATGAACATATAATGATGTACAGTTTTATATTGGTGGAGCCAGGTTATGAAACTCAAGATGTACAAACATTTCAAAAGGTTAACACTATAAGCTAGTGTTATCTTTTAAAAATTTTAGTTTCGTAGTCTTATATAAAATTTTAACTTCATAGTCTTATATAAAATGAGGGTAGTTCCTTCCTCATAAGGTGGTTTGGAGTATTACGTTAGTGAATAAAATGTTAAGCACTTAGAAGAATGCCCGACACATAAATAACATAAAAATCCTTAGTAAAGTACCTTCCCTGTGAAATAACACTATATTTTTGGTCATCCTAGTAGTTTTTCTCTGCCCAAGCAGTTCTCACCGATTGTAACTTTTATTTTTATTTTTATTTTTTTTTTAGGCAGAGTCTCACTCTTTTGGCCAGGCTGGCGTGCAGTGGCACTATCTTGGCTCACTACAGCAATTTTGGCTTACTGCAGCCTCCGCCTCCCGTGTTCAAACAATTTTTCTGCCTCAGCCTCCTGAGTAGCTGGGACTATAGGAGCATACCACCACACCTGGCTAATTTTGTATTTGAACTCCAGACCTCAGGTGATCTGCCTGCCTTGGCCTCTGAAAATGCTGGGATTACAAGTGTGAGTCATTGTACCCAGCCAGGAACTTTGATAAAGTATCTTTCACAGTTAGGTATTATGTTTATGTTAACATAATACCTCAGGTGATCCTCTGTACCTTTGCAGCACCGAGGCAGGAGGATGGCTTGAGTCCAGGAGTTAGAGACCAGCCTAGGCAACATGATGAGACCCCATCTCTACAAATTTTTTTTTTTTTTTTTTTTTTTTTTTTTTTGAGACGGAGTTTTCGCTCTTGTTACCCAGGCTGGAGTGCAATGGCGCGATCTCGGCTCACCGCAACCTCCGCCTCCTGGGTTCAGGCAATTCTCCTGCCTCAGCCTCCTGAGTAGCTGGGATTACAGGCACGTGCCACCATGCCCAGCTAATTTTTTGTATTTTTAGTAGAGACGGGGTTTCACCATGTTGACCAGGATGGTTTCAATCTCTCGACCTTGTGATCCACCCGCCTCGGCCTCCCAAAGTGCTGGGATTACAGGCTTGAGCCACCGCGCCTGGCCTCAAAAAAATTTTTTTTAAATTAGCTGAGTGTGTTAGCGGTTTACCTGTAGTCCCAGCTACTTGGGAAGCCGAGATGGGAGGATTGGCGGAGTCCGGAAGGTAGAGGTGATCACATCACTGCATTCCAACCTGGATGACAGAGCCAGACACTCTTTGGGGGGGTGGAGGGGTGATGGAAAGAAACCTGAGAGTCTTAGTGAGCATACTCTGGCTGGGGAGGCTGCCTGATTTGCAAATCATTTTTTGTTCAATTAAACTCTATTAATAATAATTTAAAAAGAAAAAAACCTTTACAGTATCAATAATGGTTTTATGGGAAATTATCTTTAAACTTACATTCTTGCCAAGGAACCCCTCAGATCATATTGTTTGGTGTGGGGTTTTTCTGCAGTTCTCAGAACTGCTTTTTTTTTAAGCTACACCTCTCTGCTTTTAACATGTCCTGTGTTCCTTTTTTGTTATTTATTTCTTTATGATTGTGGGGAGAAAAATTAGAAGTTATTAATTCTGTGTTTAATACTTAAAAGGTTATATCTCTCCCACAACCTGCCAACTCTCAAATCCTACTTTTTTGAGGTAATCAAGGTTAAAAGCTTTTGACGTTTGCTTCATGCTCATGCTAATTTTTTAGTGGCCCTCATATTTTACAGCAGTTCTAGGTTCACAGCAAAATTGAATGGAAGGTACAGAGATTTTCCATATATCCCCTGCCTCCACACAAGTATAGTGCCTTCACCTTTACAAACATCCACCACCAGAGTGGTACATTTCTAACGATTTTATTGCCTTCCGTTTCCCCCACTAAATATAGGATACATTTTTGTGGAGAAGTTTTGTATTATCAATAATTTATTCTTTCTCCTCTTTAATATGTAGGATCTAATTTGTTGTTGTTGTTGTTGTTGTTGTTTTTAGCTCTAATCGTTCTTTGACAAATATATATAAATCTTAGTAAACATGTTTATTGATTTCTTCAAGGTAGAATTGTTAGAAGGAGCTATGCTGGCTCCAGGATTATGCACATTAAAAAAAAAACCCTGATAAGGCCGGCGCGGTGGCTCAAGCCTGTAATCCCAGCACATTGGGAGGCCGAGGCGGGTGGATCATGAGGTCAAGAGATTGAGACCATCCTGGTCAACATGGTGAAACCCCGTCTCTACTAAAAATAAAAAAAATTAACTGGGCATGGTGGTGTGTGCCTGTAGTCCCAGCTACTCGGGTGGCTGAGGCAGGAGAATTGCTTGAACCCAGGAGGCGGAGGTTGTGGTGAGCCGAGATTGCGCCATTGCACTCCAGCCTGGGTAACAAGAGTGAAACTCCGTCTCAAAAAACAAACAAAGAAACAAAAAACCTGATAATTGTCAGTTTACACCTATTTGCGTGTCTAGTTCTCTTGTGTTCAAGTAAATACTAGGTATTCTTCTTTTTTTTCTCTAATCTTAGCCAGTTTGTTCCGTGAAAAATGCTGTCTCATTGCTTTAAATTATATTTCTTTGATAAATAATGAAATGAGGTTGGTTTTTTTGTTTGTTTACAGTACTTTTTTTTAATGATTTTTTTCTTTTTTGAGACAGTCTCACTCGTCTCCCAGGCTGGAATGCAGAGTGCGGTGGTGCGATCTTGGCTCACTGCAACCTCCACCTTCCAGGTTCACGTGATTCTCCTGCCTCAGCCTTCCAAGTGGCTGGGATTACAGGTGCACACCACCATCCTTGGTTAATTTTTGTATTTTTAGCGGAGACAGCGTTTCACCACGTTGGCCAGGCTGGTTTCGAACTCCTGACCTTAAGTGATCCACCTGCTTTCACCTTCCAGAGTGCTGGGATTACAGGCGTGAGTCACTGCTCCTGCCCTATTTTTAATAATTAAAAAAAAAAATCGTTAGCTGGGCATGGTGGCATGTGCCTGTCGTCCTAGCTACTTGGAAGGCTGAGGTGGAAGGATCAGTTGAGCCTGGGAGTTTCAGGCTGCACTGAGCTGTGATTGCACCACTGCACTTCAGCTTGGGCAACAACGACAGACCCCATCTCTGAAAAATAAGTGTCCTTATTTTTTTTCAGCTGGGATGAGAACATTTTCTCAGTTGTTTTTTTTTGTTTTTTTTTTTTTTTTTTTTTTTAAGACAGAGAGACAGAGTATTGCTCTGTGCTCAGGCTAGAGTGCAGTGGCAGTGATCTCGGCTCACTGCAACCTCCACCTCCCGGGTTCAAGCTAGTCTCATGCCTTAGCCACATGCATAGTCGGGATTACAGGTGTGCACCACCATATGTGGCTGAGTTTTGTATTTTTAGTAGAGACAGGGTTTCACCACATTGGCCAGTCTGTTCTCAAACTCCTGGCCTCAAGAAATTGATCCAGCTCAGCCTCCCAAAGTGCTGGGAGTACGTTTGAGAGCCCCTGTGCCAGGCCAGTAAAATATCCTTTACCTGTTTTCTATTTGAGTGTTCGCTTTTTACCCTCCTTCTTTGTAAGAATTCTTGACAAATTTGTTTGTCTTTTACTTTTTCTGTTACTTCTGGCATTCCAAATAGTCATACTTGGGTTTTTCCTTTGCTTGTACATTGAGAGTGCTTCTGTGCTTATATTCAATAAACATTAACTTTTTTTGAGGAAGCGTCTCAGTTGCCCAGGCTCTGGAGTACAGTGGCGCAATTATGCCTCACTGGAGCTTCCGCCAGGCTCAAGTGATCCTCCCATTTCAGCTTCCTGAGCTGGGACTACAGGCATGTACCACCATCCCTGATCTTTTTTTTTTTTTTGGTAGAGCTGGGATCTCACCATGTTGTTTAGGCTGGTCTTGAACTCCTCAAGTGATCGGTCCACCTCAGCCTCCTAAAGTGCTGAGATTAGACATGAACCACCACCCTGGCCCTTATTTTTATTTTTTTGAGACAGAGTCACGCTCTGTTGCCCAGGCTGTAGTGCAGTGGCGCGATCTTGGCTTACTGCAACTTCCGCCTCCTGGTTTCAAGCAATTCTCCTGCCTCAGCCTCCCCAGTAGCTGGGACTACAAGCATGCACCATCACACCCAGCTAATTTTTGTAATTTTAGAGACGGGGTTTCACCATGTTGGCCAGGATGGTCTCCATCTCTTGACCTCGTGATTCAGCTATAGATGTGAGCCACCGTGCCTGGCTCCTGGCCCTTTAAATATTTAAAAATTAGAAGGCCAGGTGCAGTGGTTCATGACTGCAACTCCAGCACTTTGGGAGGCCGAGGCAGACGGATCACTTAAGTTTGAGGCCAACATGGGGAAACCTTGTTTCTAGTAAAAATACAAAAATTAGCTGGGTATAGTGGCGCATGCCTGTAATCCCAGCTACTTTGGGAGGCTGAACCTGGGAGGCAGAGGTTACAGTAAGCCAAGATTATGCCACTGCACTCCAACCTGGGTGACAGAGTGAGACACCATCTCAAAAAAAAAAAAATAAAGTGATTAACCAGTTTATTCCAGTTCTTTTAACCATCTAGGCTTTCCACAGTAATTTGCAAGAGGCTTTTCATATAATCTTTAAATATATTCTTCCTTGTTTTAAGGCTTTCTAGTCTATTAACACATCTGTTACGCTGTTTAAGTAATTGAAATTTTAGTTTTATCTTTTTGTTAATTTGTATTGTAAACATTTTATATCATATTTTAATTTGTATTGTAAACATTTTATATCGTATATTTGGGGAAGATGTTTATTGCCTTTTGTAACTTGTGACATGTATTTTTAAATAACAGAACTTGGTACTGGAAAGTAATAAGAAATGTCAGGATTGGCGTCCATATTATACGGTGTTCTGAAATACATTGTATTATCTCACAGTATTATTTTGGAGACTTCAATTTGCCACGGGACAAGTTTTTAAAGGAACAGATAAAGCTGGATGAAGGCTGGGTACCTTTGGAGATAATGATAAAATTCAACAGGTAACAAGCTTTTAAAAATAACCTTTTGGTTTTCTGTTTACAGTGAGTGCTACTGCTGAGTCTTACGTTTTTATATGTACACTTCAGGTTGAACCGTCTAACAACAGACTTTAATGTAATTGTGGAAGCATTGAGCAAATCCAAGGCAGAACTCATGGAAATTAGTGAAGATAAAACTAAAATCAGAAGGTCTCCAAGCAAACCGCTGCCTGAAGTGACTGATGAGTATAAAAATGATGTAAAAAACAGATCTGTTTATATTGTAAGTGGGCCTTTAATGCATTTAAATATCTTACATTTATTTAGAAAGTAGAGCAGAGTAGGGAAGAGTAAGGGATCAGGAATCATAGCCTCACTAATTACTTTGTATTCTTTTGTAATATTCTTTTTTTTTTTTTTTTTTTTTTTGAGACGGAGTTTCGCTCTTGTTACCCAGGCTGGAGTGCAATGGTGCAATCTTGGCTCACCGCAACCTCTGCCTCCTGGGTTCAGGCAATTTTCCTGCCTCAGCCTCCTGAGTAGCTGGGATTACAGGCATGTGCCACCATGCCCAGCTAATGTTTTGTATTTTTAGTAGAGACGGGGTTTCACCATGTTGACCAGGATGGTCTTGATCTCTTGACCTGGTGATCCACCTGCCTCGGCCTCCCAAAGTGCTGGGATTACAGGCTTGAGCCACCACGCCCGGCCTATTCTTTTTTTTTTTTTTTTTGAGACGGAGTTTCGCTCCTGCTACCCAGGCTGGAGTGCAGTGGCGTGATCTCGGCTCACCGCAACCTCTGCCTCCTGGGTTCAGGCAATTCTCCTGCCTCAGCCTCCTGAGTAGCTGGGATTACAGGCACGCGCCACCATGCCCAGCTAATTTTTTTGTATTTTTAGTAGAGACGGGGTTTCACCATGTTGACCAGGATCGTCTCGATCTCTTGACCTCGTTATCCACCCGCCTTGGCCTCCCAGAGTGTTGGGATTACAGGCTTGAGCCACGGCGCCCAGCCCTTTTGTAATATTCTTAAGTTTTTTTGTTTTGTTTTGTTTTTGAGACAGAGTCTCGTCCTGTTGCTCATGTTGGAGGGCAGTGGTGTGATCATGGCTCACTGCAGCGTTGACCTCCTGGGCTTAAGTGATCTTCCCACCTCAGCCTCCTGAGTAGCTGGGACTATAGGCATATGTGGCTGTACTAAAAATTTGGCCATACCTGGCTAAAAATTTTTTGTAGAGACAGGGATCTCCCTGTATTGCCCAGGCTGGTGTTGAACTTCTGGGCTCAAGTGATCCACTCACCTTGACCTCCCAAAGTGCTGGAATTATAGGCGTGAGCCACCATGCTTGGTCCTAAGTTTTATCTTCATAAACGTGGATATTTTCTACCTTGTAGAACTGTTGTGAAAAACAAGAAAAACCACCTCATACCATTAGATGAAATCTTTGGCATATTCTAAGCACTTATAGCATATTAGCTGTTCTTATCTATCAGCTGCTAAACTTGATTGCAGTTTTCTTTAGCGTATTTTTAAATAGTTTATTACGGAAAAAATCAGATACATATATAAATAGGTTGAATAATGTACCATCACCCAGCTTTAGTAGTTCTTAGCAGAACACGTAAATCATCTTGTTTTATTTTTGCCTCAACTGAATTATTATTATTATTATTTTTTTAAGATGGGGTTTTACCATGTTGGTCAGGCTGGTCTTGAACTCCCAACCTCAGGTGATCCGCCCACCTTGGCCTCCAAAGTGCTTGGAATTATTTTGAAGCAAATACCAGATGAGTCACTTTTATTGCACTGGAGAATTGTGGCTGCTAAACAAGGCTTTTAAGTGATTACTAAAGAGAGAAATAGAGATAGATAGGTATATCCTGCTTCATTTCAAGATAATATAAATCAAATTCTCTCCAGTTGTTTATCTGAAAAGTCATTATTTGTTATTTGTACATTTCTTCTCACTCTTCACAGAAAGGCTTCCCAACTGATGCAACTCTTGATGACATAAAAGAATGGTTAGAAGATAAAGGTCAAGTACTAAATATTCAGATGAGAAGAACACTGCATAAAGCATTTAAGGTATGATGATACAGACTTTTTCTAGTTCTAAAATATATGGGACATAGCTTAATATTTTCCTTCCTTTTTATAGGGATCAATTTTTGTTGTGTTTGATAGCATTGAATCTGCTAAGAAGTTTGTAGAGACCCCTGGCCAGAAGTACAAAGACACAGACCTGCTAATACTTTTCAAGTAAGTCTTTTTGCTGATGTTTCTCCTGGCCTTTCAGTTATATGGAATTGACACACTAGGGTAAGGAGCATGGAATTAGCATCCCCTCTAAGGCTAAAGATTTTTAGTATCTTTAGATATCCTTTGAGAAATGCTTGATATTTGCTCAGTGAGAATTATAGTCTTTTGAGACTATAAGAAAAGTGTTCATCAGTCCCTTTTCATTGTTAGCAATTTTTTTTTTTTTTTTTTTTTTTGGAGACAAGAGTTTCACTTTTACTGCCCAGGCTGGAGTGCAATGGTGCAGTCTTGGCTCACTGCAACCTCTGCCTCCCGGGTTCAAGTGCTTCTCCTGCCTCAGCCTCCTGAGTAGCTGGGATTACAGGTGGCTGCCACCACACCCAGCTAATTTTTGTATTTTTAATAGAGATGGGTTTCACCATGTTGGCCAGGCAGGTCTTGAACTCCTGACCTTAGGCGATTTACCCACCTTTGCTTCTCAAAGTGTTGGGATTACAGGTTTGAGCCACTGCACCCAGCCACTGTTAGCCATTATTAAAGGAGGTTATATTTTAGTACTGATTTTGCATCTAAAACTTTTAGTCAGGCTGGGTATTAAAATTTGGGCTTTTATGTGTTTGGAAAATGTATCAGTGCAGTTTTCCTCTTAATTTTTCATAGCATATATATATATATTTAACAGTAGAAAGGATTATTGGAGATTTGGATCACATTCTTTGTGTGTATGTGTGTGTGTTTGTCTAAGTGTCTGAAAATGGGGATGAACCAGAGCATTTTCATGATAAACTTAGTTGTAGGGCCATAGTTCCTTACTTTAGAAGACTGTGTATAGTCTTCTAAATGGTATATACAAAACCTAATTGACTTAAGAGATGCACTGTGATGGATCAATAGTATCAGTGTTAAATCCTCAAACATTATTTAACATGGTTTTCATCATTGCTGTTATTCTTGCGTCTTGGGGATTTTAGAATTTTCTCTTTTTGTGAAATTAACACCATAGAGAACTGAAATATTATTTGTATGACTTCTGATGTACTTTTCCCCCCCATACATGAATGATAAATGATAATCAACATGAGATTGCTAATGGGCAGGGGGTTTCTTTTCGGGGTCATGAAAATGTTCTGAAATTAGTAGTGATGCTTGTACAACTCTGAATATACTAAAAAACATTCGAGGTACACTTTAAAAGTGAATTTTGTGGCATATGGATTTCTTTTCCTTATTAAGGCTGTTATTTAAAAAAACATGAGTAACTAACTTCCTTGGCATATTTTGAAGTTTTAGTTGATGACTATGTTGGTAGTAAATGTGTACAACATTCATTGCTGTGCCATGTCTTAAGTCACTCAAAATATTCTGCAGTCTTAACTTTGTTCTCATGAACTTAGCCTCTGTACTGTGTGTTCTTTAGGGATGATTACTTTGCCAAAAAAAATGAAGAAAGGAAACAAAATAAAGTGGAAGCAAAATTAAGGGCTAAACAGTAAGTACATTGAACTAATAGTGACATAATTTGAATTCCTTAAAGCTTTGGCAAAAGTATAGTTGGTGAGCTCTAAAATACTGGCAATAGGCCTTTCTCTTTGCTAGTAAAACACTGAGATCTTAAGCTGCCTTGGCAGTCTGGGGGTGAAATTGCATTGCCGTCTAGCATTGCATGATCAAAAAACTTAAGGGCATCTGGCTTTGGTTAAGTAGTTTAGTGATCACGAGTGGTTAACTTTATTAGGACTTTGTTTTCTTATATACTAAGTGGAAATATGTTATAATTACAATATTTTTATTTGTAGAGAGCAAGAAGCAAAACAAAAGTTAGAAGAAGATGCTGAAATGGTAAGTATATATATTACTGGTAGCTAGTACATCTGTAATTCAAAGTTAAATGAATAGGTTTTAAGTCTGAGGTCTTTAAAAAAAAAATTATAAGCAAAGCTACCTATAGTCATTGCACTAAAGTTATATATCAGGTACTATATTGAAGGAAAAGAGAAAACTAAGGATAAGAAATATGTTTTAAAATAAGGAAAAGGCTGGGCACAGTGGCTCACGCCTGTAATCCCAGCACTTTGGAAGGCAAAGGTAGGCAGATCATTTCAGGTGAGGGGTTTGAGACCAGCCTGGCCAATATGGTGAAACCCCGTCTCTACTAAAACACAAAAATTAGCCAGGCGTGGTGGTGTATGCCTGTATTCCCAGCTACTCAGCGGGCTGAGTCACAAAGCGTTGCTTGAACCCGGGAGGCAGAGGTTGCAGTGAGCCAACATCACACTACTGCGCTACAGCCTGGGTGACAAGAGTGAGACCCTGTCTAAAAATAAAAAATAAAATACAGGAAATTATATTTTGAAATACTCAGAAAAAGTTCATTTATGCCTAGAACTTATTTTTATGAGAAAATGTTCTATAACTTCTAAAGATTCTAATAATAGATTAATACTAATGTGACTTTTAATTTTGACTTTTATAAGATGCTGTTGTGTATTTCCATTTAGAAATTTACAAATAAAAATTTTTATTTGGGGAAAATGATGACTATAAAAAAATTTTAGAAGTATGATAAATAATACTCCCTAAAATTATTTTCCAAGGTAGTTTAATAATCAGACTTATGTAGTTTATAACTAATTAAATACCAGTTGCATAAGAGATCAAATAAGTTAAAATTGAAAGCCATTGTAGAATAAATGATGACAAAGAAACACCAACTATGTGAAACTACTTTAAAATGGCATTTTGGTTTCTAGTCTTTTTCTTATATAGGTATGATGTGGTGTCAGTCATCTGGTCTGTTGTTGCTTTTAAGAAACTTTTTGATCACTTTGTATATTTTTATAGAAATCTCTAGAAGAAAAGATTGGATGCTTGTTGAAATTTTCGGGTGATTTAGATGATCAGACCTGTAGAGAAGATTTACACATCCTTTTCTCAAATCATGGTGAAATAAAATGGATAGACTTCGTCAGAGGAGCAAAAGAGGTTTGGAAACACTCCTATGCTTTTTAGCAATCAGTTTGAAAATCTGTAGAAACTTATCTTGTAGAAGACAAAATTAGTAGAAAGTAATTTTAAAATTGCGTTTATTAAATTAGTTTCTACTTGATCATTTGTTGTTATTGTCACTAGATGTGAAGTCATACTTTCTGGACTATACTAGTTTTTACTTGATCATTTACTTTGTTGTTACTGTTACTGTATGTGATATCTGATAGTTTGTGAATCATATGAATGACTGTTCATATTGGTGACTGCAGTTTTACTTCTGTAGCATACCTTTTCTAATATTCAGTAAAATTCAAACTGGTAAAGGCATGGCAGGTTTGCAGGGTAGAAAAAATTACTTTGAACAAAGAAATTAATTGTGGGACTAAAAACTAAGGGTGTGGCTTTCATTTTCTGTCTCTGATATAGGGGATAATTCTATTCAAAGAAAAAGCCAAGGAAGCATTGAGTAAAGCCAAAGATGCAAATAATGGTAACCTACAATTAAGGAACAAAGAAGTAACTTGGGAAGTACTAGAAGGAGAGGTGGAAAAAGAAGCACTGAAAAAAATAATAGAAGACCAACAAGAATCCCTAAACAAATGGAAGTCAAAAGGTCATTTACTCTGATTTTTCTTTTACAGTCTGCTTGATTAACCCATTTACTTGAGCAAAAACTTTAATCAGTGTTCAAAAACACTGACAAGAGACTTTAAAAAAAAACTCTTTACGAAGTGCTCAATTGTGTCTATACAGGTCGCAGATTTAAAGGAAAAGGAAAGGGTAATAAAGCTGCCCAGCCTGGGTCTGGTAAAGGAAAAGTACAGTTTCAGGGCAAGAAAACAAAATTTGCTAGTGATGATGAACATGATGAAAATGGTGCAACTGGTAAGTTTTTTCTAAGTCCTTTGGTAGTTTCATGAGAAAATGTGTACTTTCATAAATAAATGATTTGTCAGACAGAATAGGGATTTGGCTTTTCAACTCCTGGATAAGTGCCCTTTGTGGATTATTATTTACCTCAGTCATGCTGTAGTATAAGTCAGGGACAGGATATTTTGGAAGATGAATCTAGAGGTCAGATGGTCTATACTGAGAGAAAAACCTTTTCTCATTGGTGCAAGGAAGTTGTTATGTCTTTTTCAACAGTAGCATTATTAGTGATTGTGCTCAGTATTAAAATAGAGCAGTACTTATGTTGAATTTAACAAAAATTGTTTTTTTATAGGACCTATGAAAAGAGCAAGAGAAGAAACAGACAAAGAAGAACCTGCATCCAAACAACAGAAAACAGAAAATGGTGCTGGAGACCAGTAGTTTAGTAAACCAATTTTTTATTCATTTTAAATAGGTTTTAAACTACTTTTGTTTGTGGGGGCTTTTAAAAGGAAAACCGAATTAGGTCCACTTCAATGTCCACCTGTGAGAAAGAAAAAGTTTTTTTGTTGTTTAACTTGTCTTTTTTCTTAACCAAATGAGAATTTTTTTGAATGTATAGTTCTGTTTGTGTTATTTCAGATGATTCAAATATCAGAAGGAAGGTTCTTCTGCTAAATTGCATTTGTAATATGAGAATGTATTAGTACAAACTAATAAAATATATACTATATAAAAAGAGTAAAAACATAGTTTTTTGTTTTGTTTTCTTTTTGTACCCAGAGCATTTAAAACAGAACTAGAATATTAGCTATTGACTATGGGCCCTTTCCACAGGCTGTTTATTGGGCCTCCTAGGCTGGCTTTCTTTATTTACATAGGAAAGTTGAAAACACTAGAAATAATTACTTGTTACAAAGCTTTTCTTTTTTTTTCCTTTTGAGATTGAGTCTTGCTCTGTTGCCCAGGCTGGAGTGCAGTGGCACAATCTCAGCTCACTGCAACCTCCACCTCTCGGGTTCAAGTGATTCTCCTGCCTCAGCCTCCCAAGTAGCTGGGATTACAGGTGTGAGCCACTGCGCCTGGTCCACAAAGCTTTTCAATACCGAATGTAGTCCAGCCAAAATCAAAAGACTTACTGATTTCTTTTTGTGAAACTTGTATGATGCCGGCAGGTCATATCGAAGCTCTGTAAAACAAAAGCCACCTAAAGATAAAATTGTATTTCCTAACATTTACCACCCTTGACTAAACAACAAATTAAGAAAAACATTAAGTGCTGGTAAACTGAACCTTTAGAACTTTTAACTTATCCAAGTAGTGACTTGCTATATTCCCAGAATTGGCCATGGCAGCTTGGCATTTCTGCCATTATGGCTGTTTATACAGTAATTTGAGGTTATAAGTGAAGAGTTTAGAAGGATAAAAGGTGGACAAAAAGTACATCCTATGAAAATGATGGTACCTTTCTATTTTTAATTTCCTAATTGCTTATATCATTAACTTAATCTCATAATAACTGTGCTTATTTCAAAATTTTCTAACTCAGAGTTTAATAATGGTAGTAAGTAGCTAATTATTTTCCTCCTAAGCTCTAAAATGAAAACCAATTTTTCATATTTCTTCCATCTAAAGAATAATGTAGGCTGTGTGTGCTGGCTCATGCCTGTAATCCCAGCACTTTGGAAGGCCAAGGCGGGTGGATCACGAGGTCAGAAGTTCCAAGACCAACGTGGCCTAGATGGTGAAACCCCATCTCAACTAAAAATACAAAAAAATTAGCTTGGCATGGTGAGTGCCTGTAATCTCAGCTGCTCAGAAGGCTGAGGCAGAGAAATGCTTGAACCCGGGAGGCAGAGATTGCAGTGAGTCAAGACTGCACCACTGCACTCCAGCCTGGGTGACAGAGCAAGACTCTGTCTCAAAAAGAAAATAGATTCTCCGAACTCTTTACTACCAATCTATTTTAGAGGGATGGCAAGGAATCTACCCCTGTCTGTCACAGCTTTCAAGTTTTAATGTGCAATCAAATCACCTGGGGATCTTGTTGAAATGCAGATTCTAATATAATAGGTCTGGGTGGAGCCAGAAATTCTTCATTTCTAACAAGGAAATCCCAGGGATTTTAATGCTGATGGTGTGAGGACCACATTTAATTTAGATTATAATTAGCTTCTGGTTATATGATTTTCCTATTTTGATGTTTGTGACTATTACCCAATTTAGTAATAGGAGGAGCAAGGCTCTGGCATGGTCTATTGGGACGTTCTAAAGTTGTTCCATACTGCATATAATACCCAAAACTGCCTGGGTGCAGTGGCTCATGCCTGAAATCCCAGCACTTTGGGAGGCTGAGGCAGGAGGATGACCTGAGGTCAAGAGTCCGAGACCAGCCTGGCCAACATGGTGATACCTCATCTCTACTAAAAATAAAAAAGTTAGCTGGCCATGGTGGCATGCGCCTGTATTCCCAGCTACTCAGGAGGCTGAGGCAGGAGAATTGCTTGAACCCAGGAGGCAGGGGTTGCAGTGAGCCAAGATGACAGCACTGCACTCCAGCCTGGGCAACAGAGGGATACTCCATCTCAAAAACAAAAACAAAAAACCTAAAACTGTAAGTAATACAACATTGAAAATAACAGGAAGATGAACAAATTACTATGAACAGTATTAAATTAGTTGTACATTTAACACTACAGTGTCAATTCATTGTTTATTATTGTGAAAAATCAAGTTCCCTTATTGTACTCTTATTTCAGGCTTAGATTATAATTAGCTTCTAGTTACATGCTTTCCTGTTTTGATGTTTGTGACTATTACCTAACTTAGTAATAAAAATGTATCAAATATAATTTACTCATAGTGTTGATGTTTAGTAGAAAAAGATAAATGTTATTTGATTCGAGGGGCAATTAGAAAATGGAATTAGAGTCTATGGCCATACCACCCTGAATGTATCTCTTCAGATCTTGGAAGCAAAGCAGGGTCGGGCCTGGTTAGTACTTGGATGGGAGAAAATGGAATTAGAGGCCGGGTGTGGTGGCTCACACCTGTAATCCCAGCACTTTGGGAGGCCAAGGGTGGAGGACTACCTGAGGTCAGGAGTTCGAGACCAGCCCTGCCAACATGGTGTAACCTTGTCTCTACTGAAAATACAAAAATTTGCTGGGCATGGTGTGTACCTGTAGTCCCAGCTACTCGGGAGATTGAGGCAGGAGCATCGCTTCAACCCGGGAGGCAGAGGTTGCAGTGAGCTGAGATTATGCCACTGCACTCCAGCCTGGGCAATGGAGCAAGACTGCCTCAAAAAAAAAAAAAAAAAAAAAAATTAGAAAGGTTATCCAGGTGGCATTTTCCATGAATGAATTTCAAACCAAGATCTGACCAACTCCAAGCTCATGTTTTTAATCATTGTGCTGCTACAGTGTTCTGCCTGAGTCTGGAGTGACAAAATAGTTGAATGCTATTAGAAATTTTCACTAAATTGCATAAATTAAGACAGTCTCAGGCTAAGTGTTCACTCTGCTTTTACTCCATTTCCAATCTATTACCAATCATGCACATTTTACCACCCAGTAAAGTATACTTTATAATATGTTTCCTCAGCACCTGCATGACAGTTTTGGTTGAGTGAAAGCATGTTGGCTCTTTTGGATATTAGCTTTGAGATTTGTCTTACCTGCAATAATATCTATCTTGATTTTCCATTCTGCAGCTTTCTTTTGAATATGCTAAACATAAATAATATGTTATTATGAACTGATTTTTAAATAATTCTTTTAAAAATTGCTTTTTGCTAATACTTGAGATTGGGTTTTTAAGCTTAAAATTTCATTAGAATCTAGATCCTTGTAAACATTTCAATTGAATGGATAGTATTCTGAAAATAAGAAATCAAGCCATCTCGGTATATTTAACAATCGGAACCAAATCACACAATACATCCAATTGATAGAAAGCTATTTATGCACCACATAATGCCATTTGGGGTTATCTAGGGACTGCATATATTTCGGTAGTCCCATAAAATTATAAAGGGATCTGAAAAATTCCTGTCGACTAGTGATGTAGCTATCTTGACATCATAGCACAACACGTTATCTTTTTGGTGTTTATATTATGTTTAGATTAAAAAATACCATTGTGTTACAATTGCTTGTGGTATTCAACACAGCAACATGTTGACAGGTTTGTAGCCTAGGAACAATAGATTAGAAGCATAGAGACTATGTTTGTACAATGATGAAGTCACCTCGTGATGCATTTCTCAGAATGTATTAGTCAGAACATATCCCTGTTGTTAAGGGATGCATGACTATTTCAGATATCTATCAGAGATGTGTAATGTACTCATGGTTTCTGTAGCATTATTTCTTTAATGTATATAGCTAGTTATCCTAGAAACCATTTAGCAGAGATCTATGTACATGGGCAATTCAGTTCATGCAATTTTACTGCATGAACTGTATATGAGTTGTATAAAATTCGTGTTACTCCAAGCTGTGCAGAAAAGAGTTCACAGCACGCCTGACTGCTTATCTTTAGAAAGCCTTGCTTACAAGTTTGGCCCTTGACTGGAGATTGGGAACTTAGATTTTGGGAGGGTTCCCACTCCCTACTCCCTTAATAATAGGGTCTCACTGTGCCTAACACTGTTGATGCTGAACACCTGTTTTCCTACTGGGCGTATAGAGTTTGAGTATGTGTCAGAAAGGGAACTGCTATATGATCAGTTCCTAATAAAAGTCCTGGGTGCTGAGTCTCTGATGAGTTTCCCTGGTTGGCAGTATTTCACATGTGTTGTTAATAATTCATGCTGGGGAAATTAAGTGTGTTCTGTGTTATTCCACTGGATGAAGACTTGGGAAGCTTGCCCCTGGTTTCCCCTGTTCTCTGCCCAATGTATCTTTCTTTTTGCTGATTTTGCTCTATATCCTTTCACTGTAATACATCATAGTCATGAATAAGACTATATGCTGAGTCCTATGAGATTTCCTAGTGAATCATCAAACCTAAGGGTGTTCTTGGGAACACGTTTGGATACTAATATTTACAGGTGTTTGCTTTCACATACAGTGAGTGAGGATTTATTCACTAGCTATGTTGTGTCCTGTTGCTTGCCTACTGTACCACAGCTCATTGTTAGCAGTACTTTTTTTAGCTGTTTTATTTTATGCTTTTTAAAGGGTTATCAGATTACCATGTAACTAGAATGTATTATTTCCAACTGAATTTTTTGTATTTATATGAATTAAGTATTTTTTCCTACAAAGTCACTTTAAAATCTTTGAATACATTTACGATTTAAATAATAACTAACATGCAGTTACACATGTCAGACACTGATCTAAGTGCTTTGTAAATATTAACTCATGTAATCCTCACAATTCTTACGAACTATTGGGTACTCTTAGTCCCTTACACTTAAAGAGTACAGGTGAGAACAGTATAAATGACAAAACTGAAGCTCAATTACCTTGACCAAGGTAACAGCTGGGAAGCAGCAAAGCTTGGATTTGAACCCAGGGTGTCTGGTCTGGCTTCAGAATCTCTGTTCCTAACCACCATGTTATACCCACACTAAAAAAATGTACTGTCCCTCCTCTCAGTTTCCTGGAATACAACTTATGCACCCCTCCATGTATTATATGCTGCAAAAATAAGAATAGATGATTTCTGAACTCAGATCTGTTTAGCTCCAGGCTGTGTTCTGAAAACCTGGCCTTACTGGCTCCATTAAGTACATCAGGCCACACAAGGACAATGGGACAAAAAGCATCAACTAAGACTTACAGAGAAACCAAAACATACTGTAATGCTAGTTATAACACACTTCTCTACTCCTGAGTTATACTCTCTTGTGACAACAGTTCCTGTCTGAAAATCTTTGAGGAAAGCAGTCTTATAACTTGGAAAAAGAACAATCATAGATGCTAGCTTGTTAAGCGGAAAATTTAGTTCCTAAGTTTCAGATGTCAAAAAGGTCAGGAGAAATAGATACTGTGGTATCTAGTATTCACAGCAAATCCTAAAAACACTGTCATGAATTTAAAAATAAATGCCAGTGAACATCACATGATTTGAACTTACTTCTCTAGTTGAGGATTTGTGTAAAGAATATACTGCTGTTCTTGCCATTTCCAGAGCAGTCTTTAGAAAAGTCATATCTGTCCCTGTGAAGAGTAGGAAAAAAGCTCCTCTTTACCTCTTATCAAAATAGAAGATTAAATTAGTAGGATTTAGAAACATTTTCTTCCAAACTTCAAAATTGCCACCTTGAAATCTTTTAGCAATAAGCGTACAAATAAAATATCAAAATATTATTTTAAGATTGGTAGAATAAAACCAGAATTAAACTGTCTTGGTTAAATAAGGTTAAAGTAAAAATTTTAATATTCCAACATTAATGACTTTCAAAAAGGGGAGAAGGAAACATGTATAGTATTCAGAATCATCTTGGTGGGGGCCATGTACTTTTTGAACTATGCATGTCTTTTCCTACCCTCACTGACTTCCTAAGCTCCTTGCTCATGGTACACACAAAATTAACAGCCACAGTGAGTCACTGCTACTGATGGGCACATGTAGAAATCCTTGCTTCTGTTAAGACATTAAAAAACAGGTTCTAAAAGTATAAAATTCTTTATATGTTTCATATTCATTCAAAAGGGTTACGCAAATTATTCTTGAAAACAAATGGGAGACATACAATGAATGAAATGACTCTTTGTTTACTTAATACAAATTTGTAAAAACAAAAGTTGAAAAACGCAATTTCTGGCCGGGCATGGTGGCTCACGCCTGTAATCCAAGCACTTTGGAGGACAAGGCGGGCAGATCACCTGAGGTCGAGAGTTCAAGACCAGCCTGACCAACATGGTGAAACCCTGTCTAAAAAAAAAAAACAAAACTCAATTTCTTAGCCATGCATTAAACAAATTGAAATTTAAATTATAAGAACTATACAGGTAAGAGATTGGTTTACTTAATGAAGAGTAGTAAAATGACTTACCCTTAGTTTAATGAAGAGTGATAAAATCACCTAGCCCAAACAGTCAATGATAAAAATGGTTTTTATTTTTTCTAGACACGGTTTTGCTGTCTCCAAGGCTGGAGTACAGTGGCACATTCATAGCTCATGGCAGCCTTGAATACGTGAGCTCAAGTGATCCTTCCACCTCAGCCTCCTGAATAGCTAGCACTATAGGCTCACCATCACACTTGGCTAATTAAAAAATTTTTTTGTTGTTGAGGCAGGGTCTAACTGTGTTGCCCAGGCTGGCTTTCAACTCCTGGCCTAAAAGGATCCTCCTGTATCAGCCTCCCAAAGCACTGGGATTACACACCTTAACCACTGTGCCTGGCCTTAAAAATAGTTTTAAAAATGTGTCTATAAATATAGCAATATACCTGATTCTTGTTACAAACCTTTATTATTTTTGGTCCCAAAGGGAGGATTCATAATTACTGTATCAAAAGACTTAGACATTCTGTTAGATAATAAGCACACATCACATTGAATCATGTCAATATTTGTTAACTCAAACTCTTCCACATTCCTGTTAAATATTTCCAATGCATCTTCATCTATGTCAAATCCAACACACAACCTATAAATAAAAAACACAAAGAGTTGCGACTTACAGCTCCCAAGTTAAAACAAAAACAAAATTAGCTTTTTTTAAAAAACCACATATCTTTTTAACCCAATTAGCAAAATAAGAATGTTTTCTTTCTTTTTTTTTCCAGATAGGATCTTGCTGTGTCACCGAGATGAGTGTAGGGGTGCCATCCTGATGCACTGCAGCCTCAACCTCTTGGGCTCAAGCAGTCCTCCCACCTCAGCCTCCCAAGTAGCTAGGACTACAGGTACATGACACCACACCCAGCTAATTTTTGTATTTTTTGTAGACATGGGGTTTCACCATGTTGCCCAGGCTGGTCTCAAACTCCTGGGCTCAAGTAATCTGCCCACCTTGGTCTCCCAAAGTGCTGGGATTACAGGCATGAGCCACTGTGCCCGGTCAAGTGTTGCTTTCAGTAGCATAATTTCCCAAACTGGCAGAGGTTGGAAACTCAGGTTTGTATAAAAGGAACTACTGCTTTTACCATTTTAATTTATTTTGTGTAGTTTGTTTGGATATTCTGCCCATTCAAAATCTATTTGGTATCAGATTTTTGCTCCCTATATCTCATTCTGTGGAGTCTCATAAATATAATTCAGTTAATCACATTGCTGCTCCTTATTAAAACCACCCAATACCCCCACCCAATACCCAAATAGTATACAGTGCATTACATACCCTGCTCCTAACATTGCACTTCCGATGCTAAGTACTCCACAACCACATCCTAGATCGGCAACGACTTTATTTTCAATGTCATCGTAAGTGTTATGGATTGTATACAGCATACATGCTAAAAAATAAAAACTAGAGAATAAGCAAGCTGATGACTAAAACCAAATTGTGCAAATGACTCTTTCTAAAATAATTTCTTGTCTTGCATTACTTAGTCCTTTCCCAAATGGCATTCCAGATTATTTTTTAAAAAAGATAAGGTATAATAATTTGGTATGTAGTAAAGAGGCACCACAAAGGAGGCTAATACTCACCAGTGGTTCTCAAAAAATAGTCTCTGTTAGCAATGCCAAGAATGACAAAACTGTGACCAGTCTCTGATGTAAAATGAGGAAAAAAAAGTCAAAATGTTTAATTTTTCCTCAGCTTGTTCAAAACATTGCCGTACACTCATTGTCAGTTCTTTTTTTGATGCTGAAATAGTTTTATGAAAGAATGGTAAGGGTAAATAGGTTTTAAAAAAAAATCCTTCCTCATCAACATAAATTTGGCAATTCCGTAACAGTTTCCAAAATTGATTTGAAATTTCACTTATCTGTGAAATCTGTAAAACTAGGAACCACTATCAAACCAGCATTAGCATCACAAAGACACAGAACCTTTTTTTTTCCTTTTGTTTTTAAAAACACAGACAGGGTCTTACTATACTGCCCAGGCTGGTCTGGAACTCTAGGACTCAAGCAATCCTCCTACTTCAGCCTCCTAAAGTGATGGGATTACAGACATGAGCCACTGTGCCCAGCCACAGAAATTTGTTTTAACAAGTTTGTCACCAGAACACAAGCACCATAAGCTCCACAATATAGCTTTTAGACACAGTTATTCATGATCTACAGACATGTATATTCACAATCTAAAAATGAGACCTGATAATAGAACTACTGGGTATTAGATACACTGAAGGTTAAACATGAATAACATCACCACTGACATCTCCCTGAAGATATCTGAATCCAGTAAAGGCTGCTGGTCATTGATACCTGAGGATCCAGAGGGGTTTTTTTTGTTTTGTTTTTTTCAGAGATAGAGTCTATCTCTATCACCCAGACTGGAGTGCAGTGGCAGGATCAGAGCTCACTGCAGCCTGAAGCTCCGGGGCTCAGGCGATTCCTGACTTAGTAACAGCAGCTGGGACTATAGGCCAATCTCCTGACTTAGTAACAGCAGCTGGGACTATAGGCGAATACTACCACACCCAGCTAATTTATTATTATTTTTTAAGAGCTGGGTCTCACTGTGTTGCCCAGGCTGATCTTGACCTCCTGGCCTCAAGTCATCCTCTTGCCTCAGCCTCCCAAATTGCTGGGATTATAGGGGTGAGTCACCATACTTGGTCAGATTGTTACTATTTTTTAAATTGGATTCCACTAAAAAAAACTACAGTCAGAAGACTAGTAAGTCACTATTTCAGAAAACTGGTCTTAACCTAGACACAGTAGTTTTGTGCAAATTTTTGGTTGGAATCATGACAGTATCTTGAAGTTTAAATGTAAATACACATGTATTTCCTTGACTTTCATTGGCAGCTTAGAAACGACTATTTTGGAACTGGAAAAAACTCTTCCTTGCACGTGCTCTCAGAAAATTAATTTTCCTAAGGAGCCAGGCTCAGTGGCTCATGCCTGTAATCCCAGCACTTTAAGAGGCTAAGGTAGGAAGATCACTTCAGCCCAGGAGTTTGAGACCAGCTTGGGCAACATAGCAAGACCCTGCGTCTACAAAAAATAAAAATAAAAAAAATATTAGCCAGGCATGATGGTGTGTGCCTATAGTCCCAGCTGCTCAGGAGGCTTAGGTGGGAGGATCACTTGAGTCCTGGAGGTCAAGGTTGCAGTAGCCGTGATCATGCCACTGCACTCCAGCCTGGGTGACAGAGTGAAACACCCATCTCAAAAACTAATAAAAATATTTTTTCTAAGGCTTTCCAATGACTTCGGTAACACAGAAACATGTTTTCCTGTATTCTCTCTTGTACTCCCAGCTATCAATGTCTGGCATGAAATGACAATGCTAATGCTCAGAAAAATCTGTTAAAATTAATATGCACGCCCACTTTATACAGCACATACTCTGATTCTGTTAAACTGTCTTTCCACTATCAACTTTAGTATTCATTTCTAGGGCACAGTATAGCACAAGAATCCTTAGTTGCAATAGGAAATTGATCTTTACTTAGCAAATATTTACTGAGTTCCTAAATAGTACCAGCAACTCTTCCAGGCACTGGGAATTCAAGTATGAACGAGACCAACAAATACCTTGTCCTCAAAGAGTTTATAACGTGAGAAGAGGAAATAACAAAACAAAACAAAACAAAACAAAACACATTAAAAAGGTGTCTGGCAGTGTTAAGGGACCTGCAGAAAACTAGACAGGAAAACGATAAAGTGTGTGTGCGTCTGTGGAGGGCGTGCCTTGAGGTGCAGTGTCAAGGAAGAACTCTATAACGCGATAGGTGATCTTAGGGCTAACTTTCTCTAGACATTCTTTGTATCCAAATAACTTCTATTTTTATCACAGAGTAGACTGGACTAACGGCGAAGGCAGGGGCGTGGTGAACCAGTCGCCCTACCTGCAATGTGCGGCCTGGTGGGATACTGTTCTAGAAGCAGCTTGGGCTTTTCAAATCCATCCACTTGTTGCAGGCGACTCTCTAGTTCCTTAAGCCTTAATTTCTTCATTTTATTTTAAAGTATGGGCTCGCAGGGTTTGAAGGCACAGGATCTGCGGAGAAATCTATTGAACTGGGATGTTTCCCCCCTACCCGCAACCTTCTCCCCTATTCAGCACCGCGGCCCAGACCCAAAGATGCGCTCTAAGGAGATGCCGTGATGCTGGGCACAGGAAGAGCCTCGGACCCACCTCCCGGGTAACCCACGCGGTCCCGGGAGACTGCGACAGCGCCCGGCTGAAGCCCCAGAATACCTCGCGCCAGGGACCTCTGGAGGCGACCTGCACTTCGGCCGGGGCCGGAAGCGCCAGCCGGTACCCGCGCACGCGTTCGCCGCCCAGCGGCCTGGCGCCGAGCTGCAACGTCTGTCTCGCGCCGGGGTTCAGCTGGCCGCCTGGGGGCCTCATCGCCCCATTAGTGCCACCCGCAAAGCCTGTGCTACTCGCAGATCCACGGCCAGCCCTTGCCATCTGTCGAGTGCTAATTAATTACCCTCTAGTTTCCCCATCAAAGGATGGGGAAAGGTAGAGAGTGAAAGGGAAGCGGGAGAGAAAGTCACAGTCACTTTGTTGTCTGGCCCAGAGTGACTCTTTTTGTTTCCCAAGTTTTGGCTCAGAAAGTAGCGATCTCCATTCACCTTTACCTCCTTCGCCATTCTCATACCTCACTTTATTGTAACTTTGTTTCCCAATTTTTAGGTAATTTTTGTCACTTGGAATTCTCACAGGAATGGTGATGTCAGAGAAACCCAAAGAAGAGAGAGTGGAAATGAAAGAATAGGTAATGGTGTCAAATACTGGAAAGAGGTCGGGCTTCATAAAGTTGGAGTAGAAATCAAGTTGTGGCAGATCGTGGAGCGAATGGAAATTTAGGAAGAAGAAAGAGTGGCGCCGGGCTCGGTGGTTCATCCCTGTAATCCCAGCACTTTAGGAGGCCGAGGCGGGCGGATCACGAGGTCAGGAAATCGAGACTATCCTGGCAAACATGGTGAAACCTGTTCCCTACTAAAAATACAAAAATTAGCTGGGCGTGGTGGCACGTGCCTGTAATCCCAGCTACTCGGGAGGCTGAGGCAGGAGAATTCCTTGAGCCAGGGAGTCGGAGGTTGCAGTGAGCCGATATCGCACCACTGCACTCCAGCCTGGGAACAAAAAAAAAAAAAAAAAAAAAAGACAAGAAAGAAAGAGAAATGTTGTGGCGTACGAAAAGAAGAGATTGGGGGACGCCTAATTCTTTTTTCTTTTTCTTTCTTTCTTTTTTTTTAAGATAGGAGACAAATTCTGAAACGATTGAGCTAATAGAAAGAGAGAGGTTTAAAATACAAGAGGATATTGGATGGAGTTGGGATCCTAAGAAGGCAGGGTCCAATGCTTAAGGATTGCCTTTAAGCCTGTGGATGGACACCTCTGCATTGCTAAAGGAAAACGAAAAAGAGTGAATGGATGATGACAAAGTAGAAAAGTGTCTCAGGCTGCTACTTCCTAGGAATAGTAGAATTCAAAGTTATCCTTTAGAGTCAAATGAGTTAAAACACAGTTTTTAGCACGTAAATTTAAGACATGAAGCTTTATTTGGTTTATAATTCAGTGATTCATATAGAAAACTATTGAGCAAATTTAACTTATCACTGTTATGATTGTGAAGTACTTAACTAACATAGAAAACCAGGACGGTAAAATGACATGTTTTAATTATGTTTCATTCATTTGAAACACAATGTTACGGATTGGAAACACCCCTGTGCTTTTTTTGAGATGGAGTCTCACTCTGTCGCCCAGGCTGGAGTGCAGTGGTGTGATCTCATTTCACTGCAGCCTCCACCTCCTGGATTTAAGCGATTCTCCCGCCTCAGCCTCCAGAGTAGATGGGTCTACAGGCGAGCGCCACCACGCCCGGTTGACTTTTGTATTTTTAGCAGAAACGGGTTTTATCATGTCAGCAGATCTCGAATTCCTGACCTCAATCCGCCTGCTTCGGCCTCCCAAAGTGCTGGGATTACAGGCGTGAGCCACCGCGCCCGGCCTTCTGTTCTTCGTTGGACTGCTCTTCCTACAATTTTTTTTTTTCCCCTTAAGCTGGGATCTCACTCAGTCGCCCAGGCTGGACTTTGATAACAGTAGGAATGCACATCTCAAAACAAAATGCAGATGCCTAAAATACATCTGAAAGATGCTGTGAATAATTCCTGTAGTCTATGCAAGTAAAGAAATACTTGCCCTTATTAGAGATTTCCTATGAGTATTTCAGTAGCTCTTAACTTGGAAAGTTGGGAGCCCACTAGGCGCCCAGGCCAGAGGGGCGGGGAGAAGAAGGCTCTGCAGCCCGAGGGGGCGTGTGCAGGGGCGTGGCCGAGGGCGGAGGAGCTCGGCCGCTCCGGGTATCGCGAGAGTTGGGCGGGCCGAGCAATCGCAGCAGTCTATTCCCCCACTCTCCCCGGAGGAGCCACCGGCCCTGGACTCTCCAAATTCTGAGCTCTCATCATGGCGGCGGCGGCCGCGGCTGCCGTCGGGGGCCAGCAGCAGTCTCAGCCCGAGCTGGCCGCGTCGGGGCTGGCCCTAGACAAGGCGGCCACCGCCGCGCACCTCAAGGCGGCCCTCAGCCGGCCGGACAATCGCGCAGGTGCTGAGGAGCTACAGGCGCTGCTGGAGCGGGTGCTGAGCGCCGAGCGGCCGCTGGCCACTGCTGCGGGCGGCGAGGACGCGGCGGCGGCCGGAGGCGGGGGTGGTCCGGGGGCGGCCGAAGAGGAGGCCCTGGAGTGGTGTAAGTGCCTTCTGGCGGGTGGCGGCGGCTACGACGAGTTCTGCGCGGCGGTGCGGGCCTACGATCCCGCGGCGCTCTGCGGCCTGGTCTGGACAGCCAACTTCGTGGCCTACCGCTGCCGGACGTGCGGCATCTCGCCCTGCATGTCGCTGTGCGCCGAGTGCTTCCACCAGGGCGACCACACCGGACACGACTTCAACATGTTCCGCAGCCAGGCCGGGGGCGCCTGCGACTGCGGGGACAGCAACGTGATGCGGGAGAGCGGGTGAGTGGAGCCCTCCCCGCGGGCGAGGCGACCCTGGGCCGGTGGCGTCGCGGGAGGGCCTGGAGCGGGGCGCTGGGAGCCCACTCTGAGCTGTCAAGGGGAGGGTGCGGGGGAGGATGCAGCCACAGGGGGTTGGAGGTTACTGAGCTGTCAGCGGTGGAAAGGGGGTGGGGAGGAGGGAGGAGAGGAGAGCAGGGAGCTTGTTTAGGGAGCCCGGCTGTGAATTTTGGGGAAGCCAGGGTGGGTAAATGATAGCGAGGAAAGAGCCAGTGTGTGGGGTGGGAGGGGAGTGAGGGGGAAAGGATTTTGGGGGAAGCTCGTGTCGAGCTGTCAATTGTGTACTTGTTGGGAAAGGCTGTAAAGCCTGGTTCTTGGGAAGAGACTTAGATTGTGATTTGGATTGGCTGGGAGGAGGGTGTTATTGGGGACCGTATTGGCCCGCGGGATGATGAGAGCTGGGGAGGTGGTCTTGTACGTACGTGCAGGGAAGGACGGTTGAGGGAAAGGGCTTCTGAACTGCCAGTGTGCCTGTCAGTGTGAGACAGAAGGAGCTCTTGAGGGTTGAGGGAGGAGGGAAGGGGAGGGGCCTGCATGAAAAGTGACTGTTGAGCTGTCAGTGGAGTATTTGGTATGCTGGAATGACATTTAGAATTGGGCTACTGAGCAGTCAGTTACAGAATACCCTCCACACCAGGAGAGCAAACAAAATACTGGGCGAATTAGGAATCAAGTGTTAGGTCTTCTCCAGTTAAGGGTAGTTTGTTCACTCCCTGATATGTGAATATCTGTCTAAGAGGAGACAACAAATGTCCTTTTGACAGAAGCGATACACCAGATGTTAGGACTTATGAGAAAATAAAACATTTCAGAGTTGGCAGTGAGTTACAGAGAGTTGGTACATGTAGGGTCTTGGCTTGGAACATGATGTCAGTGTCAGGGACAGTATGAGAAAAAAGGAAAAAGTGAAAGAGGGGCGATTTTGGCTGGACAGTACTCGAAAGAACATTAGCAACTACTAGTTGCTACCAGTTATTAAACTTCTTCAATTTTCAGGTCTTAACGATTAATGCAGAGTGTAATCTTTTTATAAATGGTCCCTTCTTTGGAGTACTTGTAAGGTTACTGTTCCTCCAAAATGTTTGTGCCTACTATGTGCAAGCAAGCCTACTTGGATATTAAAAATGAATGAAAGATTGACCAACCCCTTACTCTACTTGCCCTGGAGTAGAAAGTAATACATTCCTTAAACAGTAACTTGGGAGTTAGAGGAGGGAGAGGAGGTTTCTGTGCAGACAGAGTAGGAAAAGATCTTCAGAAAGAAGGTGTTTTTGGACCTGCTAATGATAATAACATAATTGCAGCTAACATTTGAGTTCTTGAACTGTATCTCTGACAGTTTAAAAGTCCTTTTTAAAATTTAATATTTGAATAGGTAAGGTATATCGCTAAAAAAACAAATACACACACACACACACACACACACACACACACACACGGAAATTTTTCTCTCATCCAGTCTTGTACCTGTCCAGTTCCTTCTTGCTTAGTTTCTCTTACTGCAGAACAAGCAAGTGTGTTTCTTAGTTTTTCAGTCTCTTTTTATAGAAAGGGTTACATATTGTCTACTGTTCTGTAGTTTTCATTTTTTAGTTATCTTAGATGTATTTCAATATCAGTGTTCTCATTAATAAATCAGTGTTCTCATTCTATTTTGTTTAAAATAAATAAATTATTGTTCTCATTCTGTTTTTTTAAAAAAACCGCTGCATAGTGTTCCATGTTATGAATTTGCCATTCGTTTTTAAATTTCATTTATTTTTATTTTTTGTGAATTTGCCATTCTTGATTTATTATCTCTTCATGGGCATTTGACTTTCCAGTATAAAATAAAAAATGTAGTATAGATCTGTCTTTTTCCACCTGTGCAAGAATGTCAGTGGGATAAATTCTCAAAAGTGGGATTTCCCAGTTGCCCTGCCTAAGGCTTAGTACTAATTACTGTATGAGACTACCTGTTTTCCAAAAAACCTCATCAACAGAGTGGTATTAAAAATTTGAACTTTTATCTGTTTGGTTAAAAGTGGCCACATTCTAGCTGTTATAAGTGATTTAACTTATTTATTCTTTGAGTCTGAGATGATTATTTTATTCTCATTGCACAGAAGAGGAAAATAGGGCTGTTAAAAAACTTGCTCAGGATCATGCAGGTAGTAAGCTAGGCTCCAGGGCTCAAGAGCTGGACTAGTCATTTCTCTCTACTGCCTCTACTAAATAGCATTCTTATTGGTTCTTCTTTTCAAT